TAGTTTCTGGTTTTAAATATCTTTATGTTGATGTGCCATATTAGTAGATCTGTTATTTATATTCTTTCCATAGTTCTTGTTGATTTTAGTATGTAGTTTTTTGGTATCACTGTTACTAAATGTTCTGATGCATATATATACTAATAGTTAATGATGTTGTACTGGTAATTTTATAGTTGGAGTTATCACTTTTGGTATTATTATTCTTAGTATTTTCACAATAGGAATATGGTATCATCAATTTTTTATTAGGTTAGGTAGCTTTCGCTTGTTCTTTCGTTTCTTTGTCTGGTTTTTTTTCCAGTTTGGGTGGGTTCTATTTACTGTTTTTTTGTGTTTGTTTGGTTTTAAAATACTGTATTTTAACTAACTTTTTTTTCTTTTCACATAATATCTTTAGATTGATGATCTTCCTTGTTTTTTCGATTTTTTGTTTGATTTTTTTTGTTAGTTTGAGGTGAGTTTTATTAATGTGAAGTATATTCAACTAATGCTCTTCTCTAGATAATAGTTAGAGTGTTGTTAAATTTGGTAATCAGATAATAGTTAGAGTATTATTAAGTTTAATAGTCACTATTCTCTAAAATTAGGTAGTTTCTGGTTTTAAATATCTTTATGTTGATGTGCCATATTAGTAGATCTGTTATTTATATTCTTTCCATAGTTCTGTTGTTGGTTTTCTGCTAGTTGTGGTGTTTTGTGATTTAGCTGTTAGTTGTTACTAACAGATTTCTTGTGCAGTCACTACTAGTTGATTATTCATTAGTGTTACTGATAGATATATTTTTTTTTGTTTCTATTTTTTTTTGCATATCAAATTTAAGCTAATATAATACTTTTTTTTTCTAGATAAATATCGTTCAAGTTGCAGGGTTATTTTCATTATCACACAGTATTTCTATTTTATTGTTGTTTGGTGACAGTGTTGCTGATAGTTGAGTTTTCGTGCTGGTGTTTGCATCACTGGTGAATGATTTTTTTTCATCATTATAGTAGATTTTTTGTATTTGTGATTTCATCTTTGGTACTGATTTCATCTATAATTAAATGATATTGTTTGTGG